CACAGCTTTGTGTCTTCCCATAGCAAAAAAGGCCTTAATATTATCTTGTTTTTCACATGCTACGTCATCAAATATAAATATTGAGTTTGGTAACGCATTGTTTGGTTCTACAACATCCACATGTTCATTAAATGGAAAGTAGCCAACACCCTCTACTGGTTGCAAAATGTTTTCTAAAAATTTGTATTTTGGTTGATATAACGATTTTGAGTACACATAAACATTCTCAAATCGTAATCCATTGGGATGTATTAAAAGAGCAAGTAAAGCATTTGTCTTTCCACAATTTGACGGTCCACAAAATATTGCTCGCACACTATTTGGCAATAAATTTCCATGACGATTATCTGTTTTTTTATTACAATCTTGAACAAGAGTGTCAAAATTGTAAACTGGTAATTTAATCGATTGTGCTTCGAACTCCATTCTTACGATAACTGAGGTTAAAACTATAAATACAAGGTTTTTAATAGTTTCAATGTCAGTTTACTGTAGTCGCTTGTAACGTTTGCATGCAAGTCCAATAATAAGGTCCATGCTACTTTACAGCATCTGATTGCTAGGTCTAGTTTTTTAGGAGAGGTTTGCGATTTGGTGTCGATCGTCAACTCTTTCATGCTTTGGGCAAGGTCCACGTTTCCTACTGTCGGAGGCAATTGGGATAATTGACTATTACTGTGATAATTGACTATTGCTGTCATAATTTTTTTGTTAGATCATTAAAGGTCGACTGTTTGTAGTCAAATGGCAAAAAACTATAAATACATTGGTTATATAGATTTCCCCTTTAGTCTTGAAAAAGTTTTCTAACCGTAAAGAATATAAATATGGGTGTAAATAAAAAACAAATTAGTTTAAAGAAAACTTCGAAAAGAGTAAGACGAGGTAGAGGTATTTTGAATAAAATTATCAATAAATTACCTTTCGAACTTCATATACCTGGCTATCAATACTGTGGTCCAGGAACAAAATTAGCAAAGAGATTAGCACGAGGTGATCCAGGAATCAACCCTCTCGACGCTGCTTGTAAACAGCACGATATTTCTTATTCAAAAAATAGGGAAAGTGTAGAAGCGAGAAACGCAGCTGATAGAGTACTTGCTGATAAAGCTTGGCATCGTGTGTTTGCTCCTGACGCAAATTATAGTGAAAGAGCTGCAGCTTACGCAATAACAAATGCAATGAAGGTCAAATCAAAATTGGGTATGGGAATCAAGTCAAAAGAAAATATGAAGAAAAAGAGGGAAAATAAAAAATCAACGTTGAGGAAGATTGTAACCGCAGCTAAAAAATCTATGAAATTGGATACAAATGCCCAGTCTACTATTAAATCAGCACTTGAAGGTGCACGTTTGGCAGTTAAAATTGCTGGTGGCAGGCGAAAAATTAATAAACCTCGAGTTTTACCGATACCTTCTAAAGTGGGAGGAATTTTACCTTTTCTTATTCCTTTGTTTGCGGGTTTAAGTGCAACAGGGGCTCTAGCAGGGGGAGCAGCTGGCATAGCTAAAGCTGTAAATGATGCAAATTCTGCAAAACGTCAACTAGAGGAAAGCAAGCGACACAATCAAACAATGGAGTCTATTGCCTTAGGAAAAGGGCTCTATTTAAAACCATATAGGACAGGTCTAGGGTTACACCTTAAACCTTATAAAGCAGGACAAGGATGCAAGTCAAAAAACTTGAAGTAAAGCTACCTCACCGAGCCCTAACCGACTTAGATTTACTTAAATTTGCAAAGCTTTTAAAAATTCCATATTTTCGAGGAGTTTTTATGCGAAATGAACTACCTATGCGTGGTCCTAAAGAAACTGAATTTGCAATTATTAATCTAGATGATAAAAATGGTCCCGGTACACATTGGTGTGCATATAAAAAGAATAAAGATAAAATCGTATATTTTGATAGTTTCGGTAATCTTCAACCACCTTCGGATCTTGTTAAATATTTTGGTGTTGGTAGCATAAAATATAATCATAAACGATATCAAAACTATAATACATATGTATGCGGACATTTATGTCTTAAATTTTTATGTAAACAATTGAATATTCCTGATTTGTATACTCTGCATATAAATAAATGATATTCTTAGTTTAAACGTTAGTTATTACTTTGACCTCATCATGGACGATTCACTTATTTTAACGTTGTCTGGAAATTCTTCCATCTTAGAATCTCAATTTTTTCCACCAATAGAGTTGTCTAATTTTAAAAATTATGCTCTTGGTCTTGTTGAATTTTTAACTTTTAATTCTATTCCTAATATAGATGTTGGAAAGAATAAATTTTACGTAGGAAATGAAGAAATTATTATACCCACAGGAAGTTATGAAGTTAGTGATATTGATCAAGTTTTGCATTTAATTTTAAAAAATAAAGGAATTAATTTTAGAATCAAACCAAACAATAATACATTGAAATGTACAGTTTATTGTGATGAAGAAATTAATTTTAAACCTAATGATTCTATAGGTAGTTTGTTAGGATTTTCTCCTCGCAAATTAAAAGCTCAAGAATACCATGAGTCTGATCAACCAGTATCAATCATTAAAATAAATTCATTAAGAGTAGAATGTAATATAACAACGGGAGCATACATTAATGGTGAAAAAGTGCATACAATTCATGAATTTTTTCCTATTGTTCCACCAGGATATAAAATAGTGGAAGTACCAAATCACGTCATTTACTTGCCAGTCGCTGTCAAGACAATAGACTATATTCAATTGCGAATTGTAGACCAAGACGGAAATTTAGTTAATTTTCGAGGGGAAACTTTAACAATAAGGCTTCATATTAAATCCTTAAAATAATGGGTATTGTTTTTAATAATAGAAAAAGGATTGGTTTTGGTTATAAAATTAAGACACCATGCCAGAAGCAAATCAGTCGTCGGCGAATCTTGAAGAGATTAACACCTCAGAACCTGCAACTACTGAAAAATCTCGGTCTAAGGATTGTAAAAAAAGGAAGAGAGTAAAAAAGAGATTTAAGGTTATTTTTACTTGTATTTGTGCCTTTGTATTTCAACGTATTATTTTTTGCTATGGAAGGGGAAATTTTAAATATTGATTCACCAGTAATTTTTGATGAATCTATTGCTCATTATGAAGTTCATGCGCAACAACCATACACCTCATCAACATACAACAATAGTGACGAAATCCGCATCACGGTACAGAATCAGGATCATTGCTTATTTCCAAGCAAAAGCTCGATTCACATCACTGGAAAACTTGTGAAACCTGATGGAACAGCTCTAGAGCGTACAAATTTAATTTCTAATGGCATATGTCATTTATTTGAAGAAGCAAAGTATGAACTTAATGGTGTAGAAATTGATAAAAATAAAAATGTTGGTCTTACAAGTTTAATGAAAAATTATATTTCTCTCGATTCTAGTCAAAATAAATTTCTTGAAAATGTTGGCTGGTTAGAATTTACGAATGAACCAACCTTAACAAATGCACAAGGTTATTTTGATGTTTGTATTCCTCTCAGTATGATTTTTGGTTTTGCTGAAGATTACCAAAAAGTTATTATTAACGCAAAACATGAGCTTATTTTAATCAGATCAAGAACTGATGCTAACGCAGTGTTGCAAGTAGCACCTTTAGAAGAGTTTAAAATTGTCATTGAAAAAATTGAATGGTTATTACCGTACATAAAATTATCAGATGCTCGAAAATTTAAATTATTAAAATATATTGAAAAAGATCCATCTATTCCAATAAGTTTTAGAACTTGGGAATTGTATGAATATCCTTTATTACCAATTACTCCTAAGCATATTTGGAGTGTAAAAACTTCAAGTCAATTAGAGAAACCTAGATTTATTGTATTAGGGTTTCAGAGAAACAGAAAAAATAATACAGTTCAAAACTCTAGTTATTTTGATCATTGTGATTTATCTGATGTAAAATTATTTTTAAATTCACAATGTTATCCTTATGGTAATATGAATCTCAATATTAATAGAAATCAGTACTCTACTTTATATGAAATGTTTACAAATTTTCAAGCATCTTATTATAGTAAAGAGTCTCAACCAATTTTATCAAAAAAAGAATTTTTACAATATGCTCCTTTAGTTGTAGTGGATTGTTCAAAACAAAATGAGTCTTTAAAAAGTGGACCAGTTGGTATTCGCCTAGAATTTGAATCAAAAGAAAATTTTCCCGCCAATACTTCAGCTTATTGCTTAGTTTTGCATGACCGCATCGTTGAATATAAACCAATCAGTGGAATTGTCAAAAAAATTGTTTAACTTTAAGCTTATATATATTTAACTCTTTACGCGTAATGAGATTAGTTGATTTAAAAATGCAGTACTTGATAGATGTGCAAGGATTCAAATTGCCAATTAATGAATTTGTTTTAAAAGAATTAGCTATAGTTTCTGTAAATAATGATTCAATACCAATAAATATGGTTTTCCAACCTCCTTGTCCATGGAATTGCGTCACAAACAAATATAAATGTATCAATCGTTGGTTAGAAAATAATTTCCATGGTATTCGTTGGAATGCTGGTAATGTACCGTACGTTTATTTAAAAGAAATTTTAGAAAATGTGTTTAAAAAAGCAAAGACAATTTATGTTAAAGGTTTAGAGAAGAAAAAATGGTTAAAAAGCTTAATCGATGAAAAATATTGTACTGAAATTATCGACATGAATGATTTAAATTGTCCTTCTTTAAAAAAGTTAAACATTGAAACATGTACTGGAACTTGTTCAAAACATTTAATCAACAATAAAACTTTTACTTGTGCTCTTCAGAATGTTATAAACTTAAAAACTTGGTTCTGCAAAAACTGTAATATTTGAGTATTTTAGTTGAAAATGTATTCTATTTTTTTCCTCAATAAAATTATAAAATATCAATTGCACTGTAATTATTATTTCTAACCTAACCTTATTGTTTTCAGGAATAAGAAACGACATTTATTTTAAATACATTTATTTATTATAATAAATTACAATATTTTTTAAGTATAATTTATTGTAAAAATTGTATAAAGCGAATAGTAGAGAACTAATACAAACTACATTTTAAATAAATATTTACATTTTATACATCAATTTCATCTATTTCCATTGGCTCATGCTGTTGGTAACCCCAAGGAAAGGTGTCAGTTTTCCCTGGTATCAAAATTCTTTTATCATCCTGCCAACTTAGAGCAATTTTATTTTGTTTGACAGTAAATACTTCATGTTTTTTGCTGCGTATAAAGTGCTGAGATCGGATCAGGTTTTCATTTTCATTGAGAGTATGCTTAAAATCATCGAAACCTATTTTTTTTAAAGTTGAATATTTTACCCCTTTTGCTTTCTTTTTAGCTTCCTCATCACCCCATAACTTGAATGCATAGAGTTTTGATCTTAAACCTATAAATTCGTCTACAATTTTACCGTTATTTTCGTCTTTCATAAGACCTAGGAGTTTTTTATTTGCAAGTGGTATATTATAAATGTTGTTTTCAGGATAATCGGATGTATCGAATTTATGTAAATCTCTTTTAATATAATCATAAAAAATTGGGTACTGTAATATGATAAACAAGACTGTCAGTATCTGTGTAGAGTAATTTTGCAGAATCACTGAAAGTCTCTTTAATGTAATTGTAATGAAAGTCATATGTTATTATCTTTGATATGTCCAAAATAGTGAATCCTATGTAAATTGGTTTGTTAAAGTATACCTTTGTTTTATTCATCTCAATAATGACCATATCTTTATCGAATATGGTGCAACTATGAAAGTTTGGTTGAGCAATTAAATTTTTCGCGCAATACCTTCCCTCCCATTTTGTTATTAATCTAACATCTTTGTGTTTTCTAACATTTTCCATTGTCTTGCCAAATACGGAATTGTTCATTAGCTTGTAAAAATTCTTCTCAAATTCATTACTCGATTTTTTTCTAAGCTCGGTATTTAAATCAATGTAGGGTTTTAACCACTGCTTTTGCTTGAATTTTAAAACTCTATGTATTTTAGTTAATTTCATTCCCAAAGATAAATATAGCTTTAAATTTCTATAGTGAATTGTATAGTTCTTCTTTGGTAATAAATTTGGAATTAATTTGGGAATTGTACATTTTGGGAGAGGAGGTATGAAATGTTCAGGGCATAACGGCAAGTCTTTATGTGAATCATGAAGTTGAGTTGGATAATCTAAATCTACTTCAAGAATGTATCCTTCTTCTGAATCATCTGGAATATTCAAGAAAAAGTCATTGCTATAATTTTCAAACCATTCAAAATCTGTATAAGGCAAGCTTTCGCTCATAGAAGCACCATACTGATTATTTATATCGAAATACATAATGTAAGATTCTGGTATTAGGGGATTAAAATCTTTTTCCATAAATCTATTATTAGCTTTCGCGTATCTGTTTGAGCATTGTAAAACTCCACCTCTTATTCCCTTTTCAATAAAAAGCAACATTTCTACATCTGTCAACAAATCAAGCTTTACGTCTGTGTACTTGAGCATAGCGTCAAATGCCAGTCCTGGGGCAGTATAGTAATGTAACGCGTCCAAGTTATAAGTTGTAAAGCATGTTTTTCTAAAATTTTCAAAAATGTCGGCAAGTAGTAGAACGTCAGTCTGTAAATACAAGTCAGAGTATTCTCCTATTGTTTTTAAATTAAACGTTTTCCATACGTTACAAGCATGTTCATAGTCTTCGTCTGAAATATGAGCGTCATTTAATTTAGAGTAGAAAGAGTCTTTTACTGGCAATTGACCTTCTTCTAATTTTTCCCAGCTACTAACATATTCGTAAGGAAATATTCCTTTTCTTGTCAATAAATTAAACTCGTTCATATTTTTACAATACTTTTTAGTAATTTTTTTCTCATCATTTTCAAGATAGGAGGATAATTTGTCTAAACTGCTGGGCATAAATCTAAATGAATCAAGAAATCTTAATACTACTTTGGTACCCTTCACATATTTTGAAAATGAAATGTACTTTTCTTTGTTTATTGGTAACAGTTTCATTTCACCCTCAAAAGACGTTGCTAAAGCTTTAATAATGAAATGTGCATCATATCCTGACAAGTTGTGAAAAATTATGGGAACAACATGCGAATCTTTATAATTTACATTGCAACCTTGATGTGCTGGACCACGATATTTTCCCGTGAAATGACAATGATCGCGGTGTTTAATGTCATCATTTTCAAAAGGTTTTTCACAAATATGACAAATTGTTGCTGTGTCAAATTGAATTTGTTGTAAAATAGTTAAATTTTCCATTGGAATAATATTTGTAAAATAAGTATTTGCTTTTTCAGCCAATTGTTCTAATTCAGCCATGAACCAATCAACACAATCTGGACCTCGATATGATTTAAATTCTGAAAGAGATTCATTAAAATTGCAATGTACATAGAAAGCAAAACTTGTCGGGATATGTTTTTGGTATGTTGATGTGTTTGTGTGTGTACTTGCTATAGGTTCTAAGAGACTTTCAGTGTCAGCATACACGACAAAGGGAACACTTTCTTTATTTCTGTAATTTTTAAATTTTAAAATTTTATCCTCTTCATTAGGCAAAATTACTCGACACATGTTTATTTTATCACAATCAATTTTATGATTATTAAATGATTTTTCATATTTAAAATGGCATAAACATCTATCACAAAGTATGGTTCGATTATGATCTTTTGTTATTTGAGATTTTACTAAACGAGATAAATTATTGATTAATGCAAAATGATAAACTTTGTTATTTTGAAAATTATTATTATCATCATCATCGTCTAAATCAAGTTCTGTATTTTCAATCATTAATAAGTGATAAGTACGTTCATTTGATTTGTTTTTACTTAAATAAAGTGGAATAATTTCATTCTTTTTATTACTGCTTTTATCAATTCCGTACACATTAATATTTAAATTGTTTAATTTTTCAAATTTTGGAATATCGCTGAGAGAAATGGGGAATTCAAAATCATCAAACTTTAAATCAGTATCTTTAAAGTGGGGATATGAACTTGTACGATCAACGTGACTATTAGCTGGATAACGTTGTGCAATTATTGACCATAAAAAACAGAATTTGTCATTATTTATAACATTAATAACAGCTTTTTTATCAATTATAAATTTTGGCATTCTTATAAAAGTTGAGTATCCAGCCGCAAGAGGCACATATTTATTTATATTAACACTTAAATTTATAATTTCATTTAAAGACCAACCTGACTTTTTTTGTTGAAAATCATCAATCTTAACAAAAAGTTTTTCACGAATTTTATGATCAAACCATTCATCAAAGTTCGTTGATTCTAAAATTTTTGAATTTCTAGTATTGAAATATTTAATATCATCAATTTCCTCACCTTCTTCTAAAACAGTATAATTTGCCGCAAGAACAACATTAACTTTCATGTTTCCCACCTTTTTAAATGCATTTTTTAATCGAGAAATAATCATTTTCTTTGCATCACTGAGAAAACTGTCCATATTTTTATGTTTTAAATTAATAACAACACCTGTTCTAATTCTATTCTCGAAAGCATTCTCTAATTCTTCCCACCTGATCCATCTCTCATCCTTTTTAAATAAACCAGTTCCTGTTCTTCTTAGTTTCTTAAACTTTCTGCTATTTGCTTTCAATAGTCCAATAGTTGACAAAATCTTTTTTTTCTCTCCACATGACACAGATCTATTTCTTAACAATTTATTCAGTAATCTAATGTTTTTTACACTATTATTTATCCAAAAATTTAATTCCTCTGTTGTAGTTTTTTTACTTAATGTTTTAAAAGCATTGTTCATAATTTTCACAAAATCTTTACAATAGTTAGAGGTTTTATCAGTTTCCATAACTTTAATTGCTGCATTTAATTTATCCAAATTCATTTTTATCACTTGTATTGAAACTGTCAATTTTTTTCACTACAATGATTAACTCCGATCAGACTAAAATTGCACTTTTAACTATAGCGATTTTTTTAAAACGAGATTTTTTAAGCGCACTTGAATTTCACGATGTTTTTCTGATATGTTGATTGAACAACTTAAACTGCAGGAATGATTTTGTTAAGAAAAATTGCCTTCTTTATATACACAAATTATGACTAATTTTATTTCAAGTTAATTATGGTTTTCTTAGAATTGTGGTAAAAAACAAAAACAGGAAATACCAATGATAATGAGTCATCAATAAAAAATTCCAAAACTCTGAGTCATCAACCCCTATTTTGCGAGAAACAAAGAAATTATGTCATCGATAAAGAATGCACCATGTAAAAAACAAAAACAGGAAATTCCAATGATAATGAGTCATCAACCCCTATTTTGCGAGAAACAAAGAAATTATGTCATCGATAAAGAATGCACCATGTAAAAAACAAAAACAGGAAATTCCAATGATAATGAGTCATCAACCCCATTTTGTGAGAAACAAAGAAATTATGTGTCATCGTTAAAGAATGCACCCTGCAAAAAACAAAAACAGGAAATACCAATGATAATGAGTCATCAACCCCATTTTGCGAGAAACAAAGAAATTATGTGTCATCGTTAAAGAATGCACCCTGTAAAAAACAAAAACAGGAAATACCAATGATAATGAGTCATCAACCCCATTTTGCGAGAAACAAAGAAATTATGTGTCATCGTTAAAGAATGCACCCTGTAAAAAACAAAAACGGTAAATTCCAATAAAAAATTGCAAAATTCTGAGTCATCAACCCCTATGGAAAATTCTAGGATTGTTTTATAATTCCAAGAAATTAGATAAATTCCAAGAATCACATTTGCATCATGATCTCAATATCCCCCTACTCCAAAAATTCTAGGAAGTATGACGTCATATCCGGCTCAGCATAACAGTCAGAATATCCCCCCCCCCAATGGATTGAGTCTTGGCTAAGTGGTTTGAGTCTGGGCTAAAAATGTCGGTAACATGTCGGTGCAGGAATCTTGGTCCAGAACGCTCCCTGTCTATCTACTAATATTAGTTTGAATTTTCCAAATTTCATGGTTCCAATTTTCCGATTCTCCAAATTCCTTAACTTCTCAAATTCCAAGTTTAGGTTTTCTGAAAATAATAATTCCTGGAAAATTAAAATTCGAAAATAACCCAATAGACGTTGTAATTTTTCTTATTTTTAGTTAATTTTCAAATTATTTTGATGTATTTTCAATTATGAAAAGATTGTTTCCATAGTTTTAATTTTCCAAATTTTTCTAATTTTCCGAACTCGAAATTTTAGTTTTCCGAAAATAATTCCAGAAAAAATTGAAACATAAAAAAAACATCATAAAAAAAATAATAATATTAATGTAAATATATAAATAAAAAATAACATTTATAATTATTTATCATTTATACATAAAAATAAATAAAAATTCATTTTTCTTTACAAAAAAATGATTTTTTACGAAGGGAAATTTGATTCTTCTTTTGTTTATCAAATAGAAATTTGATCCTGTATGGAAATTAGATAGGGAAAAAGTGTCGAATTTTAGAATTGCAAATTTAGAATTTTGATACGATTTTAAATCATGACTTTAATTTATTCCTCTGCAGAGGTAGATATTTGAGACTTAGTAGTAATTGACTAGTTGATACTTAAATCATACTGACGGCACTTTCCTTTTGATCATGCCATGTAGTGAAAATCTATTAGGTATCTTTTGCATTAACCTGCAGTAATTAAGTTTTCAGCTCACACCTCCACCTTATATATATAATAAAATCAGTGATTTTTTTCACCAATTGCGGAGATGATAATTAATTTTAAGTGACACTTTTTCAATTTTCATTTTTCAAAAAAATTTTCAATATTTAATTTCAGATGTTTTCCAAAATATATGTGAAAAACTGGAAAATTTTGTTATTATTTTATAAAGTTATTTAATTATTATCGATTGTATGAATATTAATGTATTTTACTTTATTTAATTTAATAGTTAATTTAATTAACAATTAAAAATATTTAATATTATTTACTAAATTTAATATTTAATAAATATATAATTAAATTTAATAATCATTTTGGCAAATAAAATGAATAATTAATTTATTAGCTGTTAATAATTAATATATTAATTATTGATTTATTAATTATTCATTTATTCAACTGATAACAGTTATTAAATATATAATTATTTCAATTATTATCTTATTAATAATAATTTTCATTTTATGAATCATAATTATAATTGAAATTTGAATAAATTATTGATTTAAATTTAATTTCACAACTTGTTTATATTTATTTATTTATATATATTTTTTTCAATTATTTATTTACATTTTAATAATAACGTACAATATTTATTTGAAAAAATAAAATATTTTATAATTGTTTTCTTATATTAAAGCACAATTTTGTTTTTTAATATGCAGCAGTTAAAATGTAAGGTATTAAAATGAAATTTATTATTCATATAAATGAATTAGAATAATGTAAATGGAATAAATTTGCTTTATACTTCCGAGTGAAATGAAAGATTAATTTTAAGAGTTAAAAGATTTAAAATTCACTTGGTTACTTAATGAAGATACAGCGGTAATAAAGTCTGTAATCAAAGTTTTGGAACTAAATTTGGAAAATGATTGAAATTTCATGCAAGCTATCTTATAATAGGCTTCTTAATAGTGGCTAATTTTAGTGAGCTATTTAAGTGAGAATTTAATTAAACGATTAATTTCGACAGATGGATTATATAATGCAAAATTTCTCATAAAGTCAATGGACTCTGAATTATCTCATTAATTCTGCTACACGAAATCCGATTTATTTCTAATTTCTAAAATGATATTAAGAAAACATTTTTTTTAAACTTAATTTTTAATTAACATTCAATATTTTATTATTTCTGTCCATAATTTTTAAATCTTTAGATTTTTATTAAGAATTTATAATTTTTCTTTCTTAATTTCTCTTTTTGTCGTTCAATTTTCAATCTCCAGAAGTCTAGACTAAAATTTAAATTTCTGCGTTTGTTTATTCCTTTGGAATTAATTCTTAGTTTTTATTTTTAATTTCATTTTTTTACCTTGGTCGTTTTATGTTTAATCATTAGTTTTAAAATTTTAGTGTTTTCATTATTCAAATTCAATTTTTTAACTTTAGATTTTAATATTCATCGTTCAATTTTTAATCTTTAGGATTTCATTTTTATCGTTAAATTTTTATAGTCTTTAAGCTTTAATTTAAATTTCTAATTAGAATCTTTCAGTTTTTATTTTTAAGTTTTAATATTTGAGTTTTAAATTTTAATTTTCAATTCCTAAAAAAATAAAAACTAATTTTTTTATACTTAATTTGAAAATTGATTAAACTACTACACCCACTTGATAAGAAATAAGAATTATTTTATACCTTCCAAGAAAGAAAGAGGAAAATATTTCTTTTATCGATTCTAAGATATGTTTAAAGCGATATTGAAAATTTTATTTTCGCAATAAAAAAAAACTTGAAACAAAAAAGTTTATAAAGTATAAAAAACTTCTTTAAATATTAGCTAAAGAATTATTACTTTTTTCTCTTATTATTTATAAATCGATTTGAAATCTTTATTTCTTCTCTTTTCTTTTCTTTTTTGTGGCGCTCTTTTATGCGCGCACACAATGTACAAATAGTTATATTATTTTTATTTAATTAATTCATGAGGGAGAGTTTAGAAAATTTGAAAAGTGTTCATAGTAACAAGGGTCTCAGGAATTTTTCTGCTGAGTATGATACAGGAAAACCACGGAGTGAGAAGTCCATTTGGCTTGTTCGCTTTTTCCAGCAGAAAAGCGGTTTTGCCTTTTATGGCCGCACCGCGTTTATAAAACACGTACAAGTTTTCAAATTAAAAAAATGTTAAGATACACACATTTTTATATTAAAATGCGTAAACATGTGTTATTTCTTTAAAAAAAGAAAGAATAGAAAAAAACATGAAGGGAAACAAAAATAATTTCTATACACGACCCGCTGACCACTTTCCACTTTTCTATTTATTTTTTTTTATTTTTTTTTGGGGGGGGGGGGAATTAATCTACAATTATAACATTATTTTTGACTCGTGTGTGTGTTTATTTTTAAATTCCTGAATTATTTTGCTTCCTCTCGTAAATGTTTATTTATCATATAATTTATTTTTTTTTTTAATTTGTGGTCTTGAATTTCAAAGAGAAATTTAGTATCAACAAAAATACAAATTAATACCGATGTTTACAAAGATATTTATTAAGCTAGAGATTTTTTTTTAATTTTATTTATTTATGCTTTGTACATAGTACGAATGTATAAATAATAAATTTTTTTATAGAAATAAATATAAAATAATATTTAAATTAAATACCTACTTTTTTAAAAAATTTATAAACTTTAAAATGAAATTTAGTTGAAAATTCTAAAAAATAATTGGATTTTAGAAGAATTACAGTTTTAATTTTTAGAAGTAATTTTCTATTATTAAAATACATTTTGTTTTACAAATTGTAAAAACAATTTTTGTAAATTTTTTGAAAAAAAATTTTTAGAAATATAAAAAAATTATTTGAAATTATTTATTACTTATATATTTTTTATTATTTATTTTGTTTATTATAACTATTTTTATTATTCCATAAAAATTGACGTGGAAGAAATTCACAACGTTTGTCATCAAGGATTGGAAGAAAAAACATTTTTCATTCTCAAAATAATAATATTTTAAATTTACAAATTTGTCTTTTTTAACTATTAAAATTACTTAAAAATAATTGAATTCCTTCTAAGAATAATTTTATTATTTATAACAATAATTGAATTCTTGAGAAGAATTTTTTATTATACATAAAAATAATTGAATTCTTACGAAGGATTTTATTATTATAAAAAATAATTTAATTCTTGCTAAAATTTTAATTTACAATCAATTTTAAATCAATTCTTATTAGAAATCTTATTCTTATTCTCTACGAGAATTGAATTATTTAAATATACAAAAATAAATAATTTTTATTGAATAGTTGAATACATTTTTTAAAATTTTATTCTTATAAAGAACACTTTATTAAAATTTATTTCTAAATAATTGAATTCTTTCGAAGAATTTAAAGAGAATTTTCAATAATAATTTTTATTGAATAATT